TTCAAATTTTTTTTAGCACAAAGATTCTTTACAATAGCACTATACAATTTACAAATACAACACTTTTTTTAAATACAATACAAATAACTGATTTACTTTCACATTATACACTTCAGCTAAATTGACCGTTTGAAAATCATGTGGCTTGGTATAAAATTTTGTTGATAGTCGACCAATAAATAAAATTTCATAAGTAGAAATATCTTTGCAGGAAATTCAAGCCCAGAGCATTTTTAAATGACAAAAAAAATCAAGTACGACTCTCAACAGGAATAAGCAAATATGAATCGGGATCAGCGTCACAAAATTCGATATCAACAACATGTAAGCCTATGTAATGTATTTTTACATTTTCTCATTGGTAAAAAAGATAAAAAATGTCTACTTGGAAAAATCATTTATAACTGAAAACAAAAACTTAACCATTTAGTCATCATCAAAGTTGAAAACAAATTATACGGTTTGTGTGTTGTTTTTTTCCAAGTGCTCATCAAATACACTAGACCGATAGATATTGACATAAATGATAATCAAGAAACTTCTTAGAGGATAAATGATATAGGATATTATTACAAAAGTTTCGTAATTGTCCTCTGTTTTTAGTTATATATTATGGCTTCATTAGTACCTACAAATTGCGATAAATAATGAAGAGAAGTCTTTAAGCTGTTTACTTGTCAGTTTTAACTTACTTGAACTTATCATGTTCAGCTGCTGTTTGAAATTACAATACGTGAAATATTTAGTACCAGAATGATTATAGTCCAAGCAATACCAAGCCAATATTAACAATGTTTTTGGTATTGATAGTCTTGTTTTATGACATCTTTTTTTTTTGTTGAAAAAATCTTACTGATGAATCATATCCCAGATACAATGGTCTCAAATTAATGTATTATTAATATTAATAATCATTTACATTAGGCCTACACACTATATAATAATTAATTAATATAGGCTTAGGCCCAAAGTTAAATAACAAAAAATAGGCCTATAATATAACAAAGATTAAACTAAGCCCATTTATTAATAATAGGCATAATATTTATATTCCTTATGGACTAAAAGCCCCATTGAATTTAAATGTAGGCTAGGTGATTACATTTTTTACAACTTTGACACTGCTGACTACACTTACACTATCCCTCTATAGTCAGTGTAGTATAGTATAGTATCGTTCATATCAGAACTAGCTTTTAGGGTAAATTTGGAGAGATAGTACCGCGGCCGCCATCTTGATTGTGCCAACCCGCAAATTTATGTCCTAAATGTATCCCTAAACCTAACCTGAACCCTAAGTCTATCCCTAAACCTAACCTGAACCCTAAATCCTAAACTTATACTTAACCTGGGTTCTGACCCTATCTGAACCAGGGTTTTGACCCTATGGGAATCAGGGTTTTGACCCAATCAGATCTAGGGACAAGACACACAAATGACGTCAGGACAGGCCACGGTTTAACCACTTGGCGAACTAGGCGGCCGCCTAGGGCGGCAAATTTTTAGGGGGCGGCACTATTAATTAAATAATTAGTTGCCGTGGGCGTGAGGGGCGCAGTGCGACAGGTTCGCCTAGGGTGCCAAATGCTCTGACACCGGCCCTGCGTCAGGGTACTATCTCTCCAAATTAACCACTTTTAGTTAACTAGTAACTAGTACTAACTAGTAGGTCTATTATCCTATTTACCCTTTTCTTTTAAGTTTAGTATAAGTCTTAAGACTTAAGCTTAAGGCTTAAGTAAGACTCAAGAGTGGCTATAAATTAATAAAGTTTAGAATCAAAGTCAAATGTAGAATAAGATCAGGCTACACATATTTTACCTTTGACTTATTACAATTACTGTTAATTATTATTAAATTAGAATAAGATTAATAAGAAGGGGTCCACAGTGCAGGTACCCTACTACAATAACACACACAAAAAAAAGACCTAGAAGTAGTAGTAAGAGAAAGAGTAGTAATATTACAATAAAATTAAAGTATAGGCATCGCATTGCATACTTATATAGCCTTTAAATAATTAATATACAGGGACTGAGAATAGATAGGGCCATTGATTATGATTGATAGTGCCATCTTAGTTAGGGCTAGGGTGAACTAGATTTACAATTATTTCCACCCAATCTAGTTTTTCACTTCCTGAAAAGAACTTACACATAGATCTACAGTTTTTAAGAAAGTAAGAATAGTAAGATAATTCATTAAGTTAAGATATTTAGAGTAAAGTGTAAAGCAAGCAGAATTTCATAAATATTATTTAATATCAAGACCAAGACTGCCAAGCGTCAAGAGTTAAAAGTTAACTCAAAGTCACTCACAACTCACAGGGCTAAATTAAAGAAATGACGTAGACCCGTAGACGTAGCAATAATAATAATGAATAATAATAATGAAATCATTATTGTTATAAATATCATAAGTAATCTTAACAGCCCTATCTTAAAATGGAAAAAAAATGGGTAATTGAAAAAAAAAATTAATTTATCAACCTGATATTTTTCATATTCATACAAAACAAATACTTTAACATTAACATAGTGATAGTGTCGAGTATACAGTACTAACAGTAACAGAGAGAGAGTATCCGGATAGAGTGCAGTATAGCTGCAGAACTGAGAATTGTACCGTTGCCGCCTTTGATGTGACTAATAAGCTATTAATTTAAAAACTTAACGGAAACATGAAAAGTCCATTGTACTTACCATCACACCAACAAATTACAAGGAAAAAATATGCATTTGTGTTTTTATACAACTTTGTTTATTAGTCCATCGATTCCACAAGTGCTATGTCGCCACCTCCGGTGTGACTGTCCCAGTTAATGACAATAACGGGGCGACCATCAGGAAATGGGACACAAAAAGCTACCAAAGATTACCGGAAATGAAGATTGATAAATACATTAAACTACCGAAAATTGACGGAAAATGTTGACGCCCCTTTTAATTTTAATCGGCTTAGTTATTTTTTACTTAAAAGTAAGAATGCACCACCGTAAACAAATAAATAATATATTTCTTCAGCAGATATTTCATTTAAAAAGCTACATAACGTATTCATAAAATGTAAACTTTCATGCGAATACTTGTTATTCTTTACAATTATAGTACTATAATATACAATTCCCCGCCTACTTTGAAAATTCTACGGCCTTGGCCCTTGGGCTTAGGCCTTAAGCCGTAATTATTAATTTCCGATGTGTAAGTAACGCTACCTTTTTGTTTTTCCTATCCAAGTCAAAAAAAAAAAAGGGGGGGGGGGATTTTCAATCCATGTATTTTTTCTTCACGTTCTTCAAACCAACTAAATTGATTAATAATAATAAACCTTAATAAGAACTAACGACATTGTGATTGACGTACTATAGTATATTCCTAGTAGGCCTACTATTGGCTAAAAATTCATATTCATATTGATATTGCCCATAGTAGTTTATAGTATGAAATGTGTGCAATAATAAATGTGAATGTGTTTATAATTTATAATATCCTTAGCAACAACACAAATATTTCTTTTTAAATAACGTAAGATATTAAGGCTTAATGAGAGGAGTAAACGATTTGTGGGCTCTTACTCTTAATCGATATAGTCTTCTTCCTTATTTTTCTCTATTTCAAACACAATTTAACAGACAATTACTGTTGGAGATTGACAGCCAAGCTTTAAAAAAAAAAAAAAAAAAGAAAAAAAAGACAAGCATGTAACTACTAATTTTATTAAAGGGCGTATTACATTTGGGCTGAGACACCCGCCTCCTTTAGCGTTAACTGACCTCTTCGAAATGGCTTTTCTGTATGTACACTCTACTGTGTTCCCGGCCTATTTTATTCCGCTAACTCACTAAATCCACTCCCTTCCCCCCCCCCC